ACTCATTGTTTACTGTATCATTTAGCGTATGGGTTGGAGGATAGAGAAGTGTTATTTCTCTTTTGAGGATAGGCAGTATTACCAACAAATAGTACAGTACAGGTTTAAGGAGAGAAATAAGTCGGGGGTGTAAAGTACTGTATAAGAAAGAGGAACTTTTCTTAAATACCGCCTTGTGGGATTATTTCCTTGGGGGGGTATTTCCCAATACCCCAATGAGAAATCAAGTACTGTATAATACTGTATCAAAAGTTGGCACCAAGTCTGGATGACTACTGAGCACCATTTGTAGTGCAAAATTTATGAATTTATATATACACACAAGATACAATCTGTGTAAGCACAGATTTTGGTGATTAAATGGTACATTCATGCAAACTCACTTACTCAAATAGCATTTCGATCAAAATAATAAAAATTACCTACATATTATTTAGGATGTAAATATGGGAGCAAAAAGACACAAGATTAGCAATGACAAAGGTATTGAATTCACGGAGGATTTTATTGAGGGACAAATGGCTCAAAAGGACATTTAATATGGTATAATCAGGACATTGTGAGGTATGTAACTACGCCAGACAATGCAGATATGACAGTAAGGCGTAAGTCTTTGTTCCGTTCGCATGTGAGTTAATCATATATTAACAGGAGAGGTTATGTTGTTGAAAATAGAAGAGAAGGTGTAGGCAGAAAATTAGTTCACTTCAGAACTGTTTACTGATGGAGAATGGGATTGCAAAGCTTTGCAACTGCTCAAAAATAAAGCATAAATAGTCCTACACTTTATCTGAAGGCTAAAAATAAATATGGTTAATTACACAACTCTATATAAACTACCTTACAACTTTCAAGCAATTCTGAATGTTACACACTGAGATACTGACCAAAGGCATATATAAATTTTCTATACTGTATAAATTTACTGATGTACAAATCTTGCTAATACAGTAATTGCAATTGAAGTAAATGGATGTATTCACTGGCAGGAGTAGAAATTTTTGTCAAACTACACATTCATTTTTGAGAGACCATATTTACTGCTCAAAGGTATCCAGACCTCTCACCTCTTTTCCCAGATATATGAAAATACTGTAGTTCCAAAATGCCACATACCTCAATAACAATAAGAATCCTGCTGGTTCTATCATACACAAGTGCTGAAATGCCAAGTGAAAATGCAGTATTAAGGAATTCTTCAGATATTGCACCAAGAAAAAAAATTGGTTATGTGAAAACCATAAAGAACTCCTAATTTAATTTTCCAAAATTGTTACACTTGCAAGGTGCACTACATAATTACCAAGTGCTGCTTTATGACCCCAGACAAGTGATCTAGGTCAATCTAAAAAGGTGTTCAAAATAATGTCTGCAAGCAAAACAGAAAATATAAAGTATAACATGAATCCAACCGTAAGTATCTTCTTTGATAAGCACTCGTAATGCCTATTACAGTACAGTATGTACTACATTACACTAACATTTCCATGAACATGTAGATGTGGCCAGAAAGTATGTCAGGAAATGTTAAATTTATTACGATGAAATTTGACTCTATTCAACAGCAATAAAAATTTGCAACCCTAGGGCTGTTTAAGGAATAGTTTACAACTTGGATGCAATTAAGATGAAAACTGTATAAAAACAAACCTTTCCATCTTTAAAATAAAACCACTGTATTAGAACTGAATATCGATAAAAATAGACACCTGCATCAACACAAACCTATTCGTGAATTTACACTTAAAAATTAAGCATTTAAAATGTCCTACCTTGAAGATATGATACTGCACATTAGGCAATATTAAAGCCAGAAATAATATAACTAACATGAAAGATATCAATTCACATTTCAAAATTGTACTCAGTAATGCCTAATTTGTACTCTTAATGACTGACTTATCTCTTAACACAGGAAATTGTGAAAAAATAATTTGCACTAATGGCAAGTCACAAGCATATCTTTTCTATTGGAGACAATAGTGTTTCTAGTATGAGGAGATACAATATACTACAATGGGCCAAGACGTGCGCACAAATATTACACAATTAGCATTTTGCAAAAATTTAATAATGGGGACAAAACTGATGCTAAAGACAGTACAATGGGAGCCTAACAAATGCATTAGTTTTCTTATCAATTCTAAAACTAAAATTCACTAAATTAAGGGCATATTCACACACAACTCTACAAAAATGAGTTTTATTTAACAAAAGATATACAATGGTTAAACATTACATGAAACAAACAGTAAAAAAAAAATTGGGAAAATCCAGGTATTAAATTGGCAGCAAATTGCCTAACATGTTAACTTAAAAAAAAAAATTAAAAAATATTAAGGACCTAAACTTCCCCTCCGACTTAAAAGTACAGTACTATAATAATAATAATAATAATAATAATAATAATAATAATAATAATAAAAGCTGCACTTCTATACATAAAAATTACTTGTATAACTGTGTGCATTACTGCTAGTGTCCAGCATTATTTTCATCCCCCATCCCAGTATTACAAACTGTAATTTACGTTTTTGAACATTTTGCAGAGCTACATAGTGCCTAGTTATTAATATTCTAGCAGCTAAATGTCCTTAACTTACATAACAATCCTACTACCTGGTACCCTCAACTTCATAAAAAAAAATATATATACTGTATATAATTTTTTTTGTAGAGATCTTGGCAGACATGCAAACAGTTGAAGAAATACTACATGCAAAAGTAAAAATTTTGTGGTTTTTAGAAATTCCAATAAAAGATGGCAATTAAAGTTAATTATCTGCTAAGACCTCGACACCATTTTCTTCGTGGTTACATACAGAGAAAGACTACATGATTACGAGAAACCCATGTGGGTGGGAACTAGATCGAGACAATAAAGGCAAATATATGAACGAAGTTCACATGCTGTAGAAGATTCATTAAAGTTCAATGTACAATCACACAATTATTAAAAACTTACATTCATTAATTAATCTCTCGTGAGATATTAAAAACCCTATAGAAATGAAGGCCATCTAGAAATCTGATGCTTACCAAAAGAACCTGGAAAGCCCAATCAATAAATACCGACAACAAATGCACCTCATGACACACGATTTTCAATCTGTATTTGAGTTATAGTTGGAATATTAACCAACAAATCTAACCTTTTAATAATATGGCAAACTCCAATAAGTGTGGCACTCAGCCTCTCCATCAACCTTCTTCCTAGTAGCTCGTAAGAACATGGTCAACTAGGCTACCAACTTACATTACTTCACGTACAGTGCAATAAGCTTAAATCTGTAAGTGTAATCATTTACAATTTAGTGCTATACTGTATTACTAAAAAGCACTTCTTTTTGTCAAAGTGTTCACCATAAAATTCAGTGCTAAACTACAAGCACTACTGGATTAAAATGAGGCTCTAAACTTATCATCTCAAAAAATATTAAATAATATTACAGTAATTAAAAATCTAGAATTTCCTATTCACAGGATTCACTCAACTTCTAAGACAGAAGTAAATTATAAAATATAACAAGACTGGTAATTACAGCATAGCATATTTGTCCAATTCCTTTTTTTTTTTTTACACACACAATTCATACTCTAAATGTTTAAATATATTTATAGAATCACTATAGCTATCTCCAGTGTTTACTTGACCACTTCATAGTTTAAAATGCTTTCCTTCCACAAAACCTCACTATAAATATTTACGATCATTAGGTCATGGTTTACATTTACAATAATTTACAGGAAATTTAATCAGCAAACTAAATTAGATATTTATACAAAACCAATCCAACTTTTCCTTTTACCACTCAGTACAGAGCACCCAGTATACAGTAGCTGTGTGGTAAAGGCTCAAATGGACATTCCACAAACTACCCCTTGCATAAATCATCCCTCCTATTACATTTATATATATATATATATATATATACATACATACATATATTATATATATATATATATATATATATATATATATATATATATATATATATATATATATATATATATATATATATATATATATATATATATATATATATATATATATATATATATATATATATATATATATATATATATACATATATATATACACACACACATACTGTATATACATTTCAATCACTTTAACCATCAGTGCCCGGACTCACGACCACTGGAGTGGAAGACCGGAGCTCTACCAACCTTGCTACAAATACCCACAGTAAGAGAGGGTCCCAGAGACATCACTGGTATTCAACTGGAATACCAGTGGCGTGTGTATGACGTGACCTGACGGGTGATGTCCACGTTCACCCCTGAACGTACACAGTACCACGACCACCACACAATTCATCGTCTAATAATAATATGAAGTTAATAATATAGACGATCAATTGGTTCGGTGGTCACGGTACCGTGTACATTTAGGCAAGTCCAAAAATGACAATATTCACAATTTTTTGTACCCCATCCAACATAATTTCAACTTCAATGCACATTATAAATAAAAAATGTAATTTAAAACAAACAAAAGCTTACCTCATTGCAGTTTGTCTTCTTGTTTGATAATGAAATCTTGAAATATGTAATTCTTGAAAATTTATGGAACCTAATCTCCGTATCCGGATTTCTGTCCAGATACGGAGACGTTTTGCCGGAAAATTATCCGGACTTGATTTAAACTATGCCTGTCTGCGGTATCTGGCAAAACCTCCAGTTATCGGATCACTAGGGGTATATACATATACTGTATATATATATACAGTATATATACAATAATATATATATATATATATATATATATATATATATATATATATATATATATATATATATATATATATATATAAATAAATTTTACACTAACATTATTTCACTGGCAGTTATTGGTTACAAGAGTACTAGCTGAAATGTTCGCATTTATAGTGCTAATGTATTATCAAAGAACACAAGGAGAATACTTGATAGAAGTAAGACATTTAAGAGGTAAAGTTACAAAAAAAAAAAAAAAAAAAAAAAAAAAAAAAAAAAAAAAAAAAAAAAAAAAAAATATGGACAAAAATGGCTGTGCCTCTATTTACAAAATGTTTACATTTCAATTATTCACCAGTAAGTTTTAATCAACTCCAGAGCTGGTGAACTAAAATGTATCAAAATCAGATACACATTTAATAAATAATGAGTTTATATTTTACATGCATTATTGTCCCTCTCATTTGAAAACGTTTCCCAAATATATTGTAGAATACTGTACTGTAATACATGTACAGTACAGTATATGCATGTATATGTTAGAATGAAGATTTTACTATAATGAACATGTACAGTACAATATTTTTTATATTCGCACACCACTTATTCAGATTGATCGACTACCCATGTTAAGATTTGTCCGAATAACATTGTCTTTTGGTTGGTATGTCAAATGTTCTCTGGTTAAGCTTGCCAATGCACGTGGCTAATTGGGCAACTCCAACTGTCCCAGTTGGTCACCCTAAGGTGGCACTCAAGTGCTTCTCACACACATCAAGTATTGTTTTGATGTTAGGTGGTATTCAGATATTCATTATCTTCACTTGCCTGAATTTATCATGAAAATATATGAAGCATCCTTCCATATCAGTTCAAAATAATAGTACCATGTTGATACAGGCTTCTACTAGCAGCAATGACAGTAGGAAATGTGTAGTGATGATTTTTTCCAAAAAGCTTAAATTTACGTCAAGTGGCATTGCTGGGAGTCTCTATGTATGACTAGTTGTCTAGATAGTGAAAAAAACTCGTACTCTGAAGACTAAGCGAAACATCTTTAAATGTGATGCTCAAAAGTGATAAAGGAAGGTTAATAGGAATGGCTATAGTAGTGTGTACTCATGAGACAGGGTGGAAACTTTACAGGCAAAAGTGTGTAGAGAAGAAGAGAGAGACAGAAGAGTATCAGGATGGCTGCTGCAACCACAAAAATTAAAAGCCAATTTAACACCTTCAAAACATTTACATACAAAGTAGAACAATGTACTGTATTTAATCTTGGCGAGTACCCTACAAACTTTTTCATCATTCTTCTATTAGTCTAGATATTCTGATAAAACAATATTGCGCTGCATATTTAGGTTAATTCCCAATGTGTCTCGACATGATGCACAGACAAGTCTTCCTAATATACATACAGTGTCTACAATCAACAGAGATCCTAGTGAAAATTCTAATATATAAAAAGTTCTGAGTATAATTAGCATTACCTACAATACAGTCTGAACTATATACAGGTATTTATTAAAATTGGATAAAGTTTGCTAAAAGTATGCTTGGCAAAACTGCAAGCTCTCATATTCCATAAATTATGGACTGTCACTTACTTCTTGCCACAGGTACATGTTTGTCTCACCAATAAATTGATTGTATTAAATATTTCATTAATAATAATAATAATAATAATAATAATAAATGCTCACACAATGGTGGTTATCTCAAAAATATAATAAATTAGAACAGATGAAAAATTAATTTCTAAATGGCTCCAGGACCTAAAAATACAAGAACTGTAGGGAGAGGTAAGTGGCATTAAGTATGCCATCGCTAGTAGACAAAAGTAGACAAAACTGTGACAGGAATCAACAAAATTGTTAAGCAAGAACTTTTTAAAATTGCAACATTAAGAACAAAAGGTCATAAATAAAATTAGGCGCCAAAACATACACATAAATTCTCTTTTGCAAACAGAATAATATGACCCATAAAGATAAATGAGTACTGTATGCCAAAACCATCACAAGCTTCAAAACCTCATGTAAAAATTATTATGGGGACGACAAGATTGCATGAGAATACTTTACCTCTTTTTCTGTAACGCCTAAGTAATTGTACTCGCTCTGTACTACACTCCCAAAATACTGTAACTTTAAAATGAATTACCAAAGGCAAACAAGATTCATGTGGCAACCTCTCTCATGAAACCCACCCACTCCCTCCCTCGGTCTCTCAGGGGCCCACTTTCTTCCCCCCAGTTTCTCACGGGCCCACTTTCTCCCTCTGTCTCTCACGGGCCCGCTTCCTACTCATCTCTCATGGGCCCACTTCCTCCACTGACTCCTGCTAAATAATGCATTTATATGATTCTGTTACAGAATCACTCCCTCTAGTGTTCATAAGAAATAACTGGACACTTATACTTCACCAATAATCTTGTAGTTCCAAGTATTTGATATTTAATTAGCAATAGTATACTGTATTGCATTTTTGTGAGTAGACCACTACATATATTTTCAAAAATATATAAAGAACAGTATACAGTACAAAAAATGCAATGTAGACAATGTTCTACTAGTACCTATAAATCCTGGGTGTATGATAATCCTCATTTGCAAATTATCTATAATGACACAATGGCTCATCCCAAACTGTGTGAATTAGGTAGACTCGTCTGTACATGTACGTAAGTATGCACGTGTAATCCCTGGAAACACAAACCAAAACTGTCTCTATTTTCCGCTTGTTACAACTTGTAATAAAGTTGTTACATCTTGGCTTAATGTGTTTATGACGTATTAGAACGTTTTTACAACTTGCTATATTGGTTGTTGTAACTGGTTAGGTGTTAAAACTTGTTCGAACGTTGTACCAACGTCGTAGTTTCGGTATGTGTTTGGCGGGATAACACTAAATTATTTATATAAATAATTACACACACTATAGATATATACGTTTTATGTATATCCCTGGTGTGTGTGTGTGTGTGTGTGTGTGTGTGTGTGTGTGTATTCACCTAGCGGTGCTTGTGAGGGTTGAATTCTGCTCTTTCGGCCCAGCTGTCAACTGTCGTGTGTATGTGTGTGTATGTATTATATTCAGGCATTAACTCAAAACTTCTGTATGTATTGCTAAACAACAATTTTATGTGGAAAAGGGAATTGGACTGAGAATATTTAATTCTGCCCAGAACATACTTTTCTTACAAGATACACATCTGGTACATACACTGTACATGAATATTTAGTTTCTTAATAGTTAAAACAATAGTCAAATTTAAAAAAATAAAAATTGGCAATACTGTACAGTAATACAAAATTACTGCAAGTTATTTCAGGTAATGAACTCAAAACATAACTGAAATAAACTAATGCATATATGTATATGATGTTAAGGCTCCTGCATAAGGATAAAGTTCTCCTCTGAGAACTTAATGAGACTGCAAATGGAATTTCACCACTTTTTCAATTGTCATCAGGAACATGATATTAATTTCACCACTCGAGTTAGGAGTCTGGAGGCTTTTTTACATTGGCCTGTGGCTACAATGACCACAAAGTCCGAACCTGTTCCCACTGGGCATAAGCATGTGGTGGTTGATATGGTTGCTGGGGAAACATTTTTGTAGTTTCTTGATAATCAAATGTTTTCTTTTCAGTGGGCATGATCACATGGCTGTTATGACCATTATGGTGAATCTTCTGGGGAATGACTACAGGTGCCTGTTTCACATACTCGACATAATCAATACCCTTTCTCTCACTATGAACAAACCTGTGGCTGTTCAGATGACTTTCCTGTGTAAATCTTTTCCCACATTCTGGACACTCGAATCTTTTCTTTTCGCTGTGTACAAACTGGTGACTAGTAAGATGGATTTCTTGTCTGAATCTTTTCCCACATTCACCACATCCATAGCTTTTTTCCTGAGTGTGTACAAATCTGTGGCTGTTCAGATGACTTTCCATAGAAAATCTCTTTCCACAATCATCACATTCAAATCTTTTCATGTCGTTGTGGATAAACTTGTGCCCATTGACATGATTTTCTTGAGGCACTCTATTTGTTGCCCATTCCTGTCGCTCAAATTTTTTTTCAGCACTGTGTACGTACATGTGACTATTTAGATGTATTTCCTGAATGAAGCGTTTACCACATTCTTCACACTCAAACCTTTTCTCCTCTGTGTGTACAACTCGATGGCTGCTCAGATGGCTTCTTTGGGAGAACTTTTTCCTACACACCTCACATTCGAACCTTTTCTCTTCACTGTGCACAAACCTATGGCTGTTTAGATGACTCTTTCGTGTATATCGCTTGCCACAAACCTCACACTCAAATCTTTTCTCACTATGAACAACCATATGGCTATTGAGATGACTTTCCATTGAGAATCTTTTTCCACAAATGACACACTCAAACTTTTTCTCTACACTGTGTACAAGCATGTGGCTATTAAGATGAATTTCCATTGTAAATCTTTTGCTACACACAGCACATTCAAACTTTTTTTCCATTGTATGTATAAGATGATGACTGTTCAAATGAATTTCTAATGCAAATCTTTTACCACATACTTCACATTCAAAATTTTTCACTACATTATGTGCATTCATATGGCTATTTAGGTGACTTTTCTGTAGAAATCGTTTCCCACATTTTTCACATTCAAATCTTTTCTCCTTTACATGAGTGAGCATGTGACTTCTGAGATGTGTTTCCATAGTGAATCTTTTGTTGCATAATTCACATTCAAATTTCTTTATTTGACTATGAACAAGCATATGACCATTTAGGTGGCTTTCCATGGTGAATCTTTTATCGCACATTTCACACTTAAAGTTTTTCTCAGCACTATGGACAATCATATGGCTGTCAAGATGACTTTCCATAGTAAACCGTTTCTTACACAACTCACACTCGAACCTTTTTACTTTTCGATGCCATACTATGTGATTATTGAGATGACTCTCTTGGGCAAAACGTTTACTACATTCGTCACATTCGTAAGGTTTCTCAGTTGCTTGCAACCACATTCCAATTTGGGGAATGATTTGCTGTTGCTGCTGCTGCTGCTGTTCCTGCTGCTGTTGCGGTTGTTGTTGCTGCTGTGGTTGTTGCGGCTGCAGCTGATGTTCTGGAACAGTCTGACTCGCTGTATGAGTTCTGCCTGGGTATTGAGGCGGTGCCACTTCCATGATTGGATATTTTACCAAAAAGGTTTAAGTGACCATAAGTTTTCTAAAATTGATATGTGATGTTACCACTCAATTTTGCACTGTATACGATACATCAGTACCAGTACTTGTACATCTGAAACAAGAAATATTTATTTAGAATGGATGATAATGTTAAACTTTTAAATGTAGATTAATAAAAATATCTGAACAATAAATACTATTACAAGTACACTAATAGTAAATTTATTATCCAATGTTTAATTTTTTTTTTTTTTTTTTTGAGATATATACAATTGTTACATTCTTGTACAGCCACTAGTACGCGTAGCGTTTCGGGCAGGTCCCTGGAATACGATCCCCGCCGCGAAGAATCATTTTCTTCGGTTAAGAATCGTTAATTAACCAATTGCTGTATTTAATGTAGGGTAGCGAGTTTAGGATCTCAATAAATTTTGTATACCGTACTGGTAGGTACTTAATATTTGAATTAGCACATCCCCCTTGCTACCGTAGGGATATTCCGGGTCAACAGTAATTTGATGCCATGAAAGTCCCACTACAGCATGTACATGCATTTACAGATGGATTTTGTGGGTCAACTTGGCCAATCAAAAATCTCCTAGTACCAGATTCTGGTAACTGGTACTACTGTACATTATATATAAGTGTACTTTGATGAAAAATTAAAATTATACAATTTTTAGTGCTGGTTGACATTTGGCTGCTGTGCATTCAATGTAAATGGAATACTGTAAATGAGGAAGGCAAGAGAGCACTGAAAATAAATTTTATAAATAAGAAAGTTATTTGTTAGGTGCGAGACTTAACCCTTAAACTGCGCAACGCGCCTGCAGGCTCACGTCTGGTTTGCGCAACGCGCCTCCGGGTATTTGTATTTTTCACGTTCCATTCAAAACTCCCGCGGCTACATGGGGTTCACATCAGCTTCCTCAGGGCTCTTGTAAACAGACGCCATCTTTAAAAAAAATCGTGGTCCACATTCCCGGGTGTGGGAGCCTCAGTAGTGTGTGAGCAACCAAGGCTGGCGCTCGCAGCATGAGCGCACAGCACTGCTGTTCAGCATGTGACCACAGCATCGCCTAATAATGTCAAAATATATATATAACTTGTATTATTTAGCTATGATAGTGTTATATTAGAGCCTGAGTGTGATAATGACTGGGTACAATGTTCAAATATCAGTGATTCAATGCTGTTCACGATGTTCACAGCGCTAGCCACAGCACCACAGCATTATTTCGTTCATCTAGGAATCTTCAAATGATTTTTTAGGTTCGTTTTCAAAATAAACGTGTGGTCAATTATTCATTTACAGGAATTAGTGACCAGGATTGTGATAATAGCAGGAATGTTGTTATAATTAGCGTTGTGCGTAGTATTGTGGAAGGAGGAATTTTGATGAGGGAGGGAGGGCGAGAATTGAGGTAGCCTCATTGTGTGTGTGGCTGCCACTCTTGTTTTGCTCACCATACTAGCTTAGTGGTTCGCTATGGGCAACACATATGTACATGGGTATATATAGTGTGTGTATATAGTGTAAGAACAGCAACAGAAGAATGTTGAGAGGAGCTATTTTGGTGAGGGAGGTGACGTAATCGTAGCGTCGTCTGCTGTGTGATTTTTCATGCAGTGTATGGTGGCCACTGTACTGTTTGGACACAATACTGGCTTACTTGCATAGTTCTGGTAAATAAAACATGTAGATAGGTATATAGAACATGTGTAATAAGAACTATAACAATATGGTGGGAGGAGCAATGTTGGCGAGTAAGATGTTGGAGTGAGGGAGACAGGCTGGGTGTGGCTGCTCTCACTCGAGGTGTTCTGAATGTGTTCATGGCCAAATGCTCCTATTGGCCCATACGAGGCAGCTGCTATTGGCCCATACGAGGCAGCTGCTATTGGCCCATACGAGGCAGCTGCTGTTGGCCCATACGAGGCAGCTGCTGTTGGCCCATACGAGGCAGCTGCTGTTGGCCCATACGAGGCAGCTGCTGTTGGCCCATACGAGGCAGCTGCTGTTGGCCCATACGAGGCAGCTGCTGTTGGCTCATACGAGGCAGCTGCTGTTGGCCCATACGAGGCAGCTGCTGTTGGCCCATACGAGGCAGCTGCTATTGGCCCATACGAGACAGCTGCTATTGGCCCATACGAGGCAGCTGCTATTGGCCCATACGAGGCAGCTGCTATTGGTCCATACGAGGTAGCTGCTATTGGCCCATACGAGGCAGCTGCTATTGGCCCATACGAGGCAGCTGCTATTGGCCCATACGAAGCAGCTGCTACACGGTGTTCTGAATGTGTTGATAGTGAATGTATATAGTGTGTGACAGTGTATAGTGTGTAAATAGATTGTATATATACACAAATTAGCATGATACATAGTAAATATGTGCTGCATATGTGTACACAAGTTTCATGCACGTAACACAGTGTCTACGGACAGTACGGATGTTGTACTGCGATATTATAGTGTACGTGTTCATTATACATTGGATTGGCACATAAAAACAATGAAAATGTATTTGGAAAGGTGCGCAAAAAATGAACGAAAATATATTCGCGGCAACTCGCGCGCCCCGCCCCGAGCGCCCCACCGCCCCCGAGAGCTCACGGCACGGGCGCACGGGGAATGATGACGTCACGCCCCAACTTCCGGACCCCATAGCAGCCAAAGTAAGTACAATTTCGACTTTTTTTTTACATACCCATACTGAGGGAAGGGTTTTTGACACTTTAAAAAGAAAAAAGAATTTTTTCCAGAGAATTTATATCCTGCGCACTGCGGGGGTGTCACATTTGGAGGCAACGCAGTTAAGGGGTTAACATACAGTGATGAGTAAATGGAAAATTGGTGAAAAATTTAAAGAATTGTAGTGTGAAAGTATGAGGTGCTTAGTTGTCGTCATTAGGAATGGATGCAAATTATAAGGAAAAATTAAAAGTGGTAGCAGTTTTATGTATATCAGTGAGAATGAGAGTATTGTATGTGTATGTCAAACCAGGTAAGACAGGTAGAGTTATGTTTTTATAAGTGCATATGCTTCGGTGTGAATGGAGAATAATGCAGAAAAGAATAAGAACATATGAATCAAGGAAACTGCAGAAGGCTCTTTGGCCCATATGTGGCAGCTCCTATTTATATCTACCCAAAGTCATTCATATATATGTGCAACCTACGCATGAAACAAAGGATCCCACAGCTATTATGTTACCCGGTAATTTGTTTCATAAATCCATAACTATTACCAAACCAATATTTCCCCAAGTGGCCAAAAGGTCTGGAAAGCATGGCTGACCCAGTTAAAAAGGAGCCAATTGGAAAACCCTGTTGGATAATGGGATCAGCCTGGATGGAACCTGAAGCAACAGTGAAACTGGAGGGAAGATATAAAGAAACCTCCACCAACCCCAGTCCAACTGAAGGCATCTACTGCAAGAGCCCTGTGATTGGGAAATGGGGCCACATAAGCCAGAAGTCTCCAACGCAATGTCGATGCGAAGAGGCCCACCGGGAAGTGACCTAATGCCTCGCAAGCCAACGGGAAGACGCATCATTGACAGACCACTCCATTGCAATAGAGCAAAAAAAAAAAAAAAAAAGATACCATCCACCAGAACATTGGACACGCCCTGAACGTAAACTGCATGGAAAGCCAAACTCTGATAATCCAGAAGACAAGCCATATGGAGAATCGAGCTCCACAAGGAAAAAATGAAGCCTGACGGCTGAGTGGACAGCACTCGGGATTTGTAGCCCTAAGGTTCTGGATTCAATCCCAGGCGGAGGCGGAAACAAATGGGCAGAGTTTCTTTCACCCTGATGCCCCTGTTTGCCTAGCAGTAAATAGGTACCTAGGAGTTAAGACAGCTGCTACTGGCTGCTTCCTGGGAATGTGTAACTAAAAAGGGGGCCTGGTCGAGGACCGGGCTGTGGGGACACTAAACCCTGCAATCATTAAGATAACCTCAAGATAAGATTCAGTGTCAGTGGTTGGGGCCATTCCATCAGGCATACAGCGTGGTGCACAAGTTTGCCGCTGTGTGACAGGCTGTGAGAGAATGGTGGATCTCTCAGCTAGACTTACCGAAGATCAGATGGCTGCGAGTGCATGTGCAGGCCTGTACACTGTGCAGTGGTGATTACACATATCCTAGGACACATTCTTAGGATGGAAAACATTCAACTCCAGGGACCCCACAGCAATGCTAATATTTGTACTATTTAAATCACTGGGGCTGTCCAGTCTAGAGTATTGCTCGGTACTCACTTCCTCTTTCAGAGCAGAAGAGATTGCCGAAATAGAGGGAATACAGAGAACACATTCCAAGCATATGTATGCTTGGGTAACAGCTTCTCCCCCGTATCATCAACCTACCCTGGCTTTGCACCCTGGAGAGGCCACTCCAGACTGACAACCAGAGTGCAACGCCATAGACTCCTGAGACTGATGGATGCCTACTATATATAAGGCACACAGACACGAAAAACCACCTAAATTACTGGGACCATCTCGAAACTGTCAAGATGTACTCTTTGGAAAGGAGACGAAAGAGGTATCAAATAATATATACAGTACTGAACATGGAAGATAGTGGAAGACCAAGTCCCAAATTTGCACAGTAGAATAACAACTTACTGGTGTTAAAGATACAGAAGGAAATGTAGAACAAAACCAGTGAGGTGTAGAGGTGCCATAGGCACAATCAAAGAACACTGAACATCAGAGGTCCACAGCTGTTCAATACTCTCCCAGCATGCATTAGAAATAATGTGGGGAACAAAGGTGACTTTTTCAAAACAAATTAGATAAATTATTGCAAGAAGTACTGGACCAACCGGGCTATAGTGGATATGTGGACCTACAGGCAGCTGAAAGCAACAAACAGCCTGTTGGACTACGTTATCACAGGTCGAGCCAGGCCTCAGGCCCGGCTCGGGGAGTAAAAGAACTCCCGAGACCCTCTCCAGGTAAGACACAAGTGTCTTGTGTTGGGTGTCTACAGATTGGTGATCACATTTGCAGTTCAGATGTACACCTGTACTGGGTGTAGTGACATATGACATCTGGTTATGCTGGCAGGTATCAGTTATATATCTGGCCTGTATAG